GATTTTCCATAGACCAGTTCTAACATGGATCATAAAATCAATCTAAAATATAATTTAGCAATATTTTGTTTACTTTCCTTGTTTATATTTCAAGGTTTTATTTTATTTAGTTTTATATGTTCTAAAACATTTTATTTTGACAAATTGATGACATTTATAATATGTAACGTTAATTGTTTTAAGAATTCCCGCCCGAAAATACGGTTGTAATTGCCCGTTTGCGGGTTATTACGCAATGGACTATAGCTTAGAAAATATCATCCTTCAGAAATACACCGTAGCATGTTGCCCATATATGATCAATTTTCGCTACGGTCAGATTCATTAAGGTCGAATCTGACCGTAGCGAAAATTGGCATATACGGCATTCTGATTGGTTTGCTACGGTCAAACGTAGCAAACCAATCGGAATGGGGCAAATGCTATAGTTTGATACGGTGGCATGAAATTGGCTACTGCTCCAGAACGATGGAATATCTGATATTTGTGTTTGGCTCATCAACAACATGCTATTGGGAACCCACAGTACGGTTGTGCGCATTTCGAAATGAAAGCCGTCGTAAAGCTAAAGGATTTATATGCGTCGAGGTAGAAATAAAATCAGATAGTAAAACGAATCATTTCCAGTCAGGTAAGCCTTATGAATAATAAGAGATGCACATTATATTTTAATTTTAGTTTTTACTGTATAGTGTTCGCTATTAACTTCGCTTTATTAAAGTGTTTGTGCGCGTATGTACAGTATACCTGCATGTATTGGAATTAATACGCGAATTATGATACGCGCGTATATATATCGTGCTTTATAGCGCGCTAATATTTGTTTGTAATGCGTATATATTCGTAAGATACGCGTATTCATATCATACGCGCGTTCATATGATATGCGTATTCGTATGATACACGCGTTCGTAGATGATACGCGCATTTCGGTATTCAATTGACAATGATATGCGTATGATACGAGTGTCATACCGATATCGTATGTTAAAATATACGCGAGCAATAGTTTTACATTTTGAGATCATTTCGGCTTATTTTTGCTTGAGAAATGAAATACAATGAGGACAAATTTAATGGTCACATGCAGTGCTCAGAACGTAGGAAATGGCATTTCCGGGCTTCAAATTTCAAAAGTTTTCCGGGGGGCATGCCCCCGGACCCCCCTAGCTATGCGAGGTCTTGGAAAATGCTACGGTCAGATTTTTGGCTGGATCCGCCCCTGTGTGTAATGTTTTGATGGCACTTGACCCCCCGTTCGAAAGGTTATTTTGTGAGGATTTCAATGGTGGCATTTATTTAAAAGGGGGGTAAATACTCGCCGAGATATTTATTTTTGAAAAATTGAGTCGTAATGTAATGCGAAACCGGCTTGACGAGAAAGAGTTAAAGTTTGAATCTGGATCTAAGTCGCAAGTAGTTGTTAAAGTTAAACGTTGAAGACAATCAGAATCGTAATGAACAGGGCCATGTTGTTACTAAAAAGTAACATGCAAAAAATTCCTTGTTATCTGAACAATGAAATGGCAAATTTTTAAGGTCATTAAGGGCCATAGGGAAGGCTATTAAAACAACAGCGTGATCAAAACTGTGTATTTACTTATCTTAAATTACTTTCAACCACTGACTTATTTCTGACGATTACTTTGTCCATGGAATATGAAATATGCTATCTTTCCTGCTCTCTTCGCTTCTATCAACTGTGGCATCTGTGCTTTTCTCTTCTGCAATGTATCAAGTGCAAGGTCTTCATTAACATATACTCCCAGAGGTTTAACTTTCCAAGCAGTCTTCAAAATATTTTCTTTCTGCTTCCAATTTTTCAGACGGCAAACAATAGTGTGTGGGTGAGTTGTCGACGTGGCAGAAGCTGAAGAACCTGGTGACACCCTTCTCTTTCCTATACGATGAGCACGCTCAATAGATATATCTTTTGAAATTTCCAACTTGTCTTTCAAAACGTCTTTCACAAGTTGCTCAGTTACCTCCCACATCTCGTCATATACTTCAGGAATGCCATCCAAATTAATGTTATTCTGTCGGCTCTGATTTTCTAAGTATTCAACTTTATCTTTCTGTTGACCGAGAAAGGACTGCATATATA